TGCTGCCTCCCACCCTGCAGGGGATCAAGGACCGCGTTCTGTACGTCCTGAAGCTGTACGACAAGATCGATCCCGAAAAGGTGAGCGCTGGGCTCAGGCCACGGCCTGGTGCGCGGCCGGGCCGGGCCGGGCCGGCTGTCGGTGGGCGGGGGGAGGCAGCCACTTCATGAACTAAAGCAGCCTGTAGGAGCTGTCAGGAAACAGGAAACTTGTGTTTCTTGTGAGCAGCTCGAGGGACGAAGACGCTTTCTTCCCCTCATCTTGAAAGGTTTCAGCGAACGGCCGCTTGTCAGATGCCCGCCCCATCTGCCGGCGGCTTTAACAATGGTTGTTTTTACAACGCGGAAGTCGGGGCAGTGTAGATGGCGCGCAGCGCCGGGTCTGAGGGGTTAGACGGAAGCTGCTATCTATCCTCCGCTCGGGTGAGAGAGGCCAAGCTCTCCCGGTCGTCCTGGGAGCCGCGCTGTGGGACGTGGGCTTCCCCCGCTCGAAACTGGATCGCCCGCTGCTGCTTTACCTTCCCCTCCCTTGGTGTCGGCACAGTGCATCTGACCGGGCTGTCCTTGCGTTCGCTTCTTCTTGCAGCTAACAGCTGATTCCCACTTCATGAAAGATTTGGGCTTGGACAGTTTGGACCAAGTGGAGATAATCATGGCCATGGAAGATGAGTTTGGTACGTTGCGCGCGCAGCCTGAGCTCTTCTTATTGACGCAGGGTTTTCTTTTCCGAGTCACAGAGCCGGGCGGGACCCGTACGATCGTCGAGCCGGTCCCCTGCCGCGGGCAGGAAGTGTCGGGCTCGGATGCGCTCGGCGAGGTCCCGTCCGGCCTCGTCTCGAACACCGCCAGGGAGGGCGGGCGACGGCGCCGCCCCGCTGGGAGCCCGCTCCAGACTCCGGTGGCCCCGACGGAGACGAAGTTTTCCCTTGTGCCCAACCTGAATTTACCCTCTAGTAGTCTGTGCCCCTGGTCCCCATCCTCCCATGAGGGGCCCTCCTGCACAGCTGCTCTCCTAGTTCACGGTGCTCCCCACCCTCCACGTACTTATTTATTTGATCCCAAAGTTGACTCCTGCAAACAAAACCTTAGTTCTTCTTTTTCTGTAAGATTACGTGATTGTTAACGTTGTTTTAATTAAATGCCGAGCTAATTAGCTCTGGCATTCATCGACTGTAAATTCCAAACATTTACAATAGCAAAGAAGAGAGAACGTATGTGGGTTTTTGGGACAGCTTTAATTGAAGACAGACTGAGCAGAAGTATGTAGTTTAACTGCAACTGCTCCCATCTCCACGGGGAGCAGTTCGCTTGCCCCCAGAAGGACTGGACACAGGAGAGCAGGAGCTCTCCAGAGCCTGTTCTGGCGGCTGGCTCACACCCTGAGCGTCCTGCACGTGGCAAATGCTGACCGCGCTTGCTAGAGCACGTCAGAGCACTGGCACTTCAGGCGCTAGTTCGTCTGTAATTACCCAGACCGCCTTGTCCTGTCCCAGCGGTTGCACGCCAGGCTGGGTGAGAACTTGGGGAGTGCACCTGATGCTTTGGTTGTGCTCGAGGAGGCACAAACTCAGTGCAGCTCTGCAGCCAGCCCCAACCCCAACCGCGCCAGGTTTTCCTTGTGCCTCGCGTAATTTGCTGCTTCTGGGCAAGATGTTGCAGCCTAGTAGCGAGGTGTCCAATCTAGCTTTATGCTACAGGGCGCCTACCCCTGCATTCGAGCCACGTCATGGGCACCAGCATTTGTTTGATAGCTGCCTTCTGCCTTGCTGCTGTTCCTGCTTTAGATCGAGTGTGTGCGTTCCCTTCTAGGGTTTGAAATTCCTGACGCAGAAGCAGAAAAGCTAATGTGTCCACAAGAGATCGTAGACTACATTGCGGATCAGAAGGACGTATACGAATAAAGACATCTGTCTGGTAGGTAGATATCCTTATGCAAGTCACAGGTAACGGCCGGGAGGCCATAAATTGATATAAGACATGCCTGCTTCTGCCGCGACCTACCCTTCAGTACGACGGTGTGACTCCTGAGGCGCTGGAAAGCCTCCCGGGGGGCAGGCCCAGGTGTTTGAGGCAGAGTGCGGCCCGGTCTGGCGGAACTGAGCTCGTTGACTTGGTCCCACCTGGAACAAATACCAGCATCCTTGGGAGCTTTGAGCGTCCCAGCAGACATGCCAGGGCTGAATAGGCCATAACGTCCCCGCGTCCCGGCAGGTTGCGTGGTCGGGCCGGTCAGCGCGGGGGACAGCGCGCGGTGGAGTTGTACCAGGCCTTGGGTCCCGCCTCTGGCTCCCCGCTCCCCTAGACCTGTGAGAGGCATTCAGGAGAACAGTCTGCTGCACGTTTTGTCTCGCCCAAGTGACTTGAGCGCTGAAAAGCAACCTGTGGATTTCTTTTTTAACAGGAAACCTCTTCTGGCACGAGCACTGGGATGATGCCAGCAGGTGTACGAATGTAAGCGCACATTTCGGTACCGTGGCTGCTTTCATCGGAATAGTTCTGTTGGACGTTGTATTTAAAGCTGTCGATGTGTTGGCCTTTCAAAAATAAATATGTAATACCACGGCTGTGTCGATGGTTCTGTGCTAGGATCCCTTCGTGCCACCGGTCCCATGTAATTATTTTCAGTGCGTTAAGTCCCCAGCGCTACCCTTAGTTTTCAGTCATTCAGCTATGTTAAGTAGGTGCCTGCAGGAAGAAGTTCTGGCTCTTCCTAGTAGGTGAGTGTTCGGCCGTGCCATACTTACTCTTGTGTGGGGTCGGGATTGCTCTGTGCCCATCGTGTTGGCATGGGTTTGAGCTCACAGCTTCGTGTTCTGGCACGGTTGTAGTCCTGTGCCTCTGGCTGCAGGTGCTTTAGCGTTGCAGTTTGGGATTGATGTCCAAATCCCATCCTATTGCCTTTAGTCCCCGCTCAAACATCTGGCAAGCACATGTGGAGATGGAGTTCCCCGCTGCTGTCACTGAGGGCTAACGGGTGGAAACCAAAGGCCAAATGCCTCAGAAGTTGCTAGAGAAATAACTCCTGTAGTGAGGATGTGTTTTGGGGAACACGGCTGTAGCAACTCTGAGGACTGGTACCCGCCGTCCCAGTGTGGGGGGCCTTGCTGGGCCGAGCTCGGAGGGGCCGCCGGGCTACTCGCAGCTTGCTTCTGTGCAGAACCCCAGACGCCGCGAACCCGCCCGTCTTGTGCCGCCGGAGCCCTGAGGCAGTCGTCCTGCGCAGGCAGCACCAAGCCTGGTTCCCAGGGCGAGGTGAAGCTGGCATGTCCTGCGCTCGGCACTGAAGTGTCCCTCGTCTAGATGGCCAGAGCTACATCCAGGCTCCCTCTGTCACCCCCCAAATAAGCACAGGAGGGTGAATAGGTCCTGGTAACTTCTCCGTCACCTGGCCTCGTCCAGCTCCCGACCTCCTGGTCTAGGTGTCAAAAGCATCTCCTAAATCTGGTATGAATGGTGTAGAGCACCCACTGGGCTAACGAATATGTCCTAAACGGGGTCAGGGGCTGTTGGCACCAAATCCGCGCTGGGTCTGTCCCTCTCCGTTACCTGCAGTGCGCAGGAGGGAGGGAATCCAGCGCCGTCTGGACAACGCACCTTAAATCGGCTCACGGAAGGGTTTGTGCCCTGCACGACTTTGAGTAATGCCTTTCCCCCGTGTGCCTCGTCTGCCCTTTCTGATAAATCGGCTGCTTTTCCATCCTTTGGCCCCGTCCCGTCAGCGAACGCAAGTGGGGAAAGAACCGCTCCGAGAAGGGGGCCGCGTCCCTGCTGCTGAAATGCCGCCCTGGACGGCGGTGACCGTAACCGCTGCTGCTCTCAGCGGGAGGGGCTTGTTCCAATCTCTCCAGCCTGCAACGAAAGTTGTTTCTGGACGCGGCACAACTTGCCCCGGAGCCAAGATACGCTTCCAGCTCCCGCAGGGGCAGGGGCAGGGGCAGCGCCCGGCGCCGAGCCAAGAAAGCGTCAGTCCACGATGTGTTTTCCTCTGACAATCGGTGTGAAAGGAGGGTGGAAACCAAGGCCGGAGGCTCGGCGTGGGCTCCCGGGCTCCGTCGCGGTGTTTTGTTTTCACAGCTTGCTGATCTCGAGCCCGGTCCTGCGCGGCACCCCGCAGTGCGGCACCCCGCAGGGCGGCTGCAGTGCCCCCGGCCCGGCCCGGCCCGGCCCGGCTGCGCGGGGCGGGGCGGCGAGGGGAGGGGGGCAGCGCTCGCTCGCGCGC